TATACTATATATATATATATATATATATATATATATATATATATATATATATAATATAATTTATATATATATAAATTAATTTATAATGTTTTTCAATGCATGGCCCAACAATATCTAACAACTGAACATTTCTATGGACATTCTACAATAATTATAGAACATTTCGTAATCTTCAAATTCCATTTCTTTGACCAGATTGTCACTGTCATCCTGTAATAATCTTCGTCTTTCTGTGAATATCGAACGTACTTACATTCTATGATGAGCTTTTTCCTGTTGGTATACCATCAGTTTCCAAACAGTTTTAGTATATTACATCGTCTAATTTTCTGTTGTTGAGATCGTTTCATCTTCTTCCACTTTTGCCATCGCTTCCACATTATTAATAACAAGTCCATGATGACTTCTGAATACATTCGCACAGATTAAGTTCGCATCTACTTTACTTATTCATACACATACTTGTATGTAAAATCTCGGTTTCCCAGAGTTGAAGTGTACCTTTCCAGATACGCAGATTACAAAAACCAATCATAAATTAGTTTAGCATTTCTGTTAGAGAGTACAACAGAAGCCCTCAGCAATTAGTTGTATTAATTACGCATTTCTCGAAATTTTGAAATACGCTCTATGTGAAAGAAGACTTTCAGAATGGCGTAACGTGTTTTAGTAAAATACTATATAATATGGTAAATAGAATATGCAAATTACACTTACGCAAGTTACGCCGCATATGACGGCACCCTCAGAGATACAGAAATGATATGTACACCTTTCTATCGCGTATACTCATAGGTTGTACTCCAAATATGAGAACAATACATGCGAACATGAATCGCATTATGTGCAACTTTGTTCTATAAAAATAGTATTTATTGACGTACCCAAGGAGCAAGATTACATTATAATGACGATTTAAAGTTATTTTTAAGTCATCTTTAATAAATAAATAATAAAATAACATTATTAATTACTATCTTTCTTAATTAACTTATAATATATAAATAAGAAAAATATTTCCCATATTAATAATATTTAATATTAATAAATTTATAAACAAGTAAACAAAATATATACAATAATTTATAAACAATTTTCATTTAAAAAATGATTCTTATTATACTATATTATATTATATTAAATATAATATAGGTTCATGGGTCTATATATGTAATTATCTATATATGTAATTAAATTATCTACAAGAATTACATATGCAATCGAAATTTTAAAATTGAGACTGTTTATACGACAATATAGTAACATTCATTAATCAGAACTATCATCTCTAACAGCATATGATATCATACGTATCATCCCATTTTTATACTCAATGTATTGTGATCATCCGTAATGTACTAAGATTTATGCTCGAACGTCACTTAGTATATCAATAGGTTTTCTTTTGCGCACGTATATTCTCAGGATTTACTCAGAGATATGAAAATGATATGTACGTATTTCTATCGCGCGTATATTTCAGGTTTTACGTCAAGTATGAAACGGTACGTACATCTATGCCATCTCTACTTTCTGTTTTGGTTTCTTTTTGTTTAGCACGGCATCAGAATAGTCAAGATTCTGAAAATCACCGATATTGAAAGTAATCCTTTTTTTTTTAAATTTCATTCCAAAAAACAAAGAACAAAGTTTGACAGATAGTTTTTGTATATGAATGATGTAATATTTTTCATTATTTTTTGTTTTTATAAAATTATTCTGCTTAGAATAGTTTAAGGTTATTTTTATAAAAAAGATGTACAAATATAACATTTCATACATAATTTAACATAAAATATTAATTATTTTAGCTATATTAGATATTCATTGCAAAATTATTCATTAAGTGTTATATTTTTACATCTTTTTTACAGATAACCTTAAACTATTCTAAGGCTTCTAAGCGGAACAGTTTTATAAGTATGTAAAAAATATAACATCAAATATAAAAACGGTCAAATTTTGTTCACTATTACTATGACGATCTGCAAATCGCTATCTACAAATAATTTGCAGAATAGTTTTACGAGTTATTTCTTTATAAGATAAGTTCAAATTATCAAGCAAAACCTCAAGCTGAATCTAGAACTGCAAGCATTTCAATGAAAATTAGTTTGAAGTGTACTTCGTTGTTGTGTCAAACAAAATATTTAGCTCGAGGTTTAAATTCGGCTCAAAATTTGACTCGATAATATGGACATACAATATTACACAAAGTTTGCATTACAATCCATCTCTCAGTTTTAGTTAAATATATAATATACATTATCTTAATTTTTAATGTCTTAAAATGATAATTATATATAAAACTGTTTTCAGCTCACAAGGTCAATAATTTCAAGTCCTCCAGCTATATAATACTTTTTCTTTTATAATGAGACAAGTCGGCGGTTATTTTTATCAGACTCTAATGTATCTGTTTATTAATCAGTATTCAAGATCAATAGAATGTATGGTATGTTCTTTCTGTCCTAAAAATTTTATACTTTTACATCTCACTGTCTGTGTATAATTTCAATACGATTCTCTTGTTAATTTCAAAGTTATTTTACTTCTTCTTTGCCCTTGATTCTCATATAAAACTGGATTTTATAATACTTAGTTATAAATTTTATGTTAATGGTGAATTAAATCATTTTTTATATAATTTAATAAAAATAATAATAGTGCAAAGGTTTATTTACATCCACTTTATCATTAAAAACTTTTGTCACAAAACTGCAGCAAAATTATCTTATAATGATAGTTGTATGTAATTAATTATATTTTATATTAGTTTAATTAATAATTTTAATTATATAAAATATAATTATATATAATTTTAATTTTAATTTATATTAATTTATATTAATTTATATTAATTATACATAATTTATATTAATTATACATAAAATTATTTTCAGTCCGCAGAGTCAAAGTTCCAAGTTTTCTAGCAATATTATAGTGCTTTTTTCTCGTCCGACAAAATAAATCGGAATTATCGGTTACTGGTGCTGCTGGATATTAACGTTTTCTTTATTCACTCATCAAACATTCAAGAATATCAACGGAATAGATATTTTTTTTTCTTTATCTCAAGTTAGATGACAAATTCACTGAATGTAAAACTTTTTTTGCTTTGACATTAACATAATCTGCTTTTGTCATTAAAATACAGCAAAATTAAGTCATTGCGTTAGCCGTTATAAGGCAAAATTTTTTGTTGCTTGTTTGCGAGTTTTCAACGCTAAAATTCGATTTTTTACGATAATAATTAATTTTTATTCTTTATTAGGAAAAAACAAATAAGTTTAAAGTTAAAAAAACTTGCTAAAATTAAGCTAAAAGTTTTCAAAATCTGCAAATTTGTTTAAAATATTTTTTCGAAAATACTTTTATACAAAACTTAAAATGGGACTTAATAAATAAGGAGCAATACAATCGAGCCAGATCTTCATGTTGAATAATATTTATTAAAGAGTTCTGCAGATGTTATAACGTTACTAATGATTTCATGGTTTAATTCTGTTGACTGTACTCATAGTTTTTTTCATTCGAATGATTGAGTGTATGTTCTATATCATTACCATGTCATTTAATTTTTTGAGCAATGAATTGATGATCTATCCTTTCTTTTATATTTTGTTTCTTTTATTTACGCTGATGATGAACTAATGTCAAAATGTCTGATAACTCTTTAATAAATATTATTCAGCATAAAAATCTACCTCGATATTACTCTTTATTTATTTTGAATTTGCATTTGACATCGGCCTTATTCGTTGTTATTATTAAAATGGGACATTTTGTGTAACAAAATATATTCTATTTAAAAAAATGCAAATGCAAAATGCAAATCTATCTGCAAATGAATCTATATCATAATCAGCACTGTACTCCATTTTCTTTGAAACTTTTTTGTTAATTCGTTTCCTTTTGCAATATTTTACTGTTAAAATTAATATTAACCGAGAGTTGGGAAATAATTATTTTTCGCATTATTCCTAACGGCATTATTGTTACTTTTTTTGCTACAATTATTACTTTTTTTTTATTTTAATTGTAATGATAACATTACATTTTTACAATAACAATAAGGAATTCAGCCTTACTGTTATTGTTACTTTAGTTTTCTGTTATCTTTGTGCTTGTTATTTTTGCAGATGTGATGAGACACGCACATACTGCTGCAACTAATGAAGAAATAGCAGTACCCATAAAAGTATGGTTCGCTCACGCAAAGGAAAGAATAGCTAGCGAACGTCAAAAATAACATTTAGAAGAATTGGGGATGTGCAGAATTATTTTTGACATTTTTATTATATAATATATAAATGTCATATAAGTTATTATATGAAATATTATCGAAAGTATTATATAAAAATATAAAATAAATAATATAAACATATATAAAGAAATATAAACAAACTGAACTGTATAAATGTTAATAAAATTAACATTTAAATAAATAAAATTATAAGAAGTACATATTTTATAAATTT